GCATTTGTATCAAAAGGGTGCAATCCGCTCTTCTGTTTTCCTGCCCTTCTTAAAGAATCTCTCCCACATTTTTTTTCAGGCAGGAAAAGCGCCTTTGCCATTTGCTGGCCGAAGTGATTTATATACAATCCCCTTTTGATGGGCCCAAAGACCGCTTTTTTTTTGCAGCCATTGGATGTTGCTCTGAATGAGCTGGCAATTGGAGGATTGCTTCCTTCTCTTTGCGCCTTTCGAGCGCCTCCAGATTCGTATGAGAGAAATGGCCATCCAAGGATATGAGAGAAATGGCCATCCAAGGAAAGTATAACAGGGAAAGTGACGTCCAGTTGCTCTAGGTTATGGATGAAAAGATTAAGGAGTAAAGTATACTACTGTTAACCCAGCCCGACTCACCGTTTGCCAAGTTCCATTGGCTAGGATCTTGAACCCCAGCGAAGTCAAGAAGGCGGGGTCTTTGCTTTTGTTTGGAAAAATCACGGAGTCACTTGCTGTCGCTCGTCAGAAGATCAGCCGAGAGACATGCTTTGACCCCCTACGAGCAATTAGCGATAGGTCTTCCTTGCAGGGCAAAACCTGTCTCATCGGCATCGAAGATTCTCGAGGGGCCTTGCTTCAGCCTGTCCTCAAGAGTTGCAAACCGATTGCGGACAACCCCCTTCATCCGCCTCCTCTCTCTCTCAAGGCTCAAGATGTTGCGGGCAAGATCCGGGTGTCTACCGGGAAATCTTGTCGTCCATCCTTTCGATACTCCTTTACCTTCTGGAATTTTTCTTGGATCATTTTCAGGCAGAACACGCATGATTTTAATTACCAACTGAATGTAATTCACTACTAATAATGTGCAGGCGAAAGTGTCCTTCCTTCTCCTCCCAGAGTTTCCCCCATTTTTGCTGAAACACCACGAACTCCGTCGCCAATGGTACTCCTTGCGATGCCATACGCAGCAGCTGCTGCTGCTGCTGCTCCTTCTGGTAGTTCGTTAGATCTTACTCTTCCCGCTGCCTCAATTATTGCGGCTATAATAATAAATAATTTTTTTTTCCACCCTGATATTCCCCTTTTATGCTGCTTGGATGGCATTGCAAGGAGTGATGGAGAGGCAATTTGGTCTCTCTACGATATGGGAATAGACGAAAAATAAAGTAAAATTCTGCATAAATCCTATGGGGGCAAATAACGAATGAAGACTCGAATGAGAAACGCCCTTCCAATCTCAAGAACGTGTCCATTTCAAATTAAACGCTGCTCTGTTTTCGATATATCGACCAAGCGAAGGAATGCAAGTGCAGCGGTTGCCGCGCTCTTGAAAATATATATGTTTTAGCCTATACCTAAGCACGGATGGCTAAGAGAACAGCAATGACTGGCATATTCAAAATTGTAAGAAATATAGTAAGGTGATGGTGGATATGGGGAAGAAGTCTGCTTTCCCAAGCGCTATGCTTTTTTCCTATGACCGACCGACCACCAAGTTCATGACATTTTGTAATCTTTAATGTCTTGTAATGTCTTGTAATCATTGATGACGTCACTGAAGGGAAGAACATGAAAGCAAAGAACGGAATGCCATGTTGATTTCTCCTGGAGACTTCATCGTTGGGCTGGAAAATAAATTGTCATGGTGAAAGTTGATGAAGGCTTTGAGTTTAAGCCTCCCTCTCTTTTCACGTTAGAACTTCACGAACTAAATGCTGTCTTTCTTTGACGTCACACAAATTAGCATTAATTAATAAGCACAGCCTATCCGGAGTTCCTCGATTTCAAACTCGTCTTGTGAAATCAGCCCAAAAATCGACTCGCATACAAATTCAAGAGCGAAAGCAATTCATGAACCCGACATTTTAATTTCATTTCATTTCTAATTTCATTAAACTAATTTCTTTTTTTTTCCACAGTGAACTGATGCATCACGAACAACAAAATGGGCATATTTCATAATGTAAAAATAAATTATACTGGTAGAAATACATCTTCCGAAAACACAAGAGGAGAGGCGGGGAAGAAAACCGTAATTTTAAATCCACATTGCCAATTTCCGTTGGCGATTCTGTAGTGAGATGCGAATAAGCACGGCCGATTTCGTTCTTCTAGATGCTTTGAGAGAAGAATGTGAAGGGATGGCCTTCGTTACTTAGTCATGCATGAAAAAAAATGCAAATTAATATAAACATTTGAATTATTAAAAATTGTCAAATTACAAACTGAATTCGGTGTGGAACAAAATTAAAGTGCATCATTCGGTGCCGCTCGGACCCCCCTCAGTAACGGAAGGGTTTAGAGCCAATTTACACGATCATGAGAACAGGGGGGAAAAAGCCAAGGAATCGGGAGAAAAGGTCTGCTGACGTTGGAAGCATGCAATGGTAAGTACGGCCACACGAATACTTTATGAAATCGGACATTGAATTTTTTCGACAATACATATGACAATATCAATATCTGGTACAAAATGATGAATATGAATTTTTCATACTCAAGTAACTCGTGTACGAAGAGAGAAAGAAGGTAAATACAGGATGGGTCTTTTAAAAGTATACCCAAGTTCTCATGACGTAGCCCTGCAGGCCTCGCGCTTAGGACTTGCTAAGATTTCCCATGGTAATCCATAAGAACTTTGGTACATTTTGATCCAATCGCATTGTCCCGTGTTCTTCCGCTTCGCCTATGGCCTTGATAGGCATAGGCTTGCAGGCCTCGCACGCCGAGCCAAAGCAGTTTATTTCTAAGCCAGATGGGACGAAGAGTCACTAGATGCGGGTGGGTTAAAAGACACCTTGTTCGAGGTCGAGTCCACGAAAACACTTCAGTAATAGTATTTTCAGAGGCATCCATAACCTCGGACAGGAGAAGCAGCATCTTTGTCACCAGTAGTACAATCCTAGCGTTGAAGCAGTGACTCACGTATGTAGAAGTTCGATGAGCCGAGCTTGCCTTGAGCGAATATGCACTTTCGCCTTCTCACACGAGAAGGCGAAAGTGCACATCCCCCCCCCCCACCTGCTCGATCGCCAACCGAGCCAAACGCCCCATCCGCAAGTTCGACCAGTCCGCTCGTGCGGACCTGCATTCCTTCCGTGAATTATCCCCTATGCTTCATTTAATACCTGGGCGTTCGACATTCGAACTGGACTAGGAGCATTTCATCGCGGAGCTACGGAGACACGAGATCGAATGAGTACAGGGACAAGGTAATGAGGGAGAATGTCTGAGAAAGTGGTTCGGTAGTTAAGGTGAGTGCAGGTCGGTGCTTGTAGAATGCAAGTCTAACTGTGCCGTGATTAAACACCTCACCTTTTTTATAAATGTCTCCTTGGAGCTATAGCTAACAATGTTCTAGGAAGCTTTTGGGATTTTCTTTTCCTTTCCTTCCAGTACAAAAACATTGAATTTCTCCCGATTGACCAAGCAGGAGACTTCAAGCAGAGAATCTGGAGACGCCGTTTCTAAGGGGATCATGCTCTCGAAGTGGTCCAGAAGGAGCGAAAGGATTGCGAGAATCATATGTGGAAGATGTTAAGGAAATCAGAATCTCTCACTCCACTTCATCAGATCCGAGCAGTGTCTATTGACTGCTGATGCCCATCCTGTCTTTTTTTAGACGAGTTCACATTTGGGTTGGCGACCACCTGAAAACCGGTTCTTTACAGTATGAACGGCAAGAGTGTATTTCCCTGCCTGAGGCAGTCCAGTTTCAGTCCATCGTTTTTTTCGTCATTTTCTGCTCGATCCGCTGCACTGCATAGACCTTGAGGCGATGCGACAATTGACTTCTTTACGGTTCGATGAAAGTAACTCAGCTTGCTATTTCACACTGGATTTAACCGATCGAAGCACATTGGAAAACTGCAGGAGCGAATTTTCTCTTGTGCCATGGCCCTATGGTGATTTCGGCGAACGTTTCCCAGCGTTTGCTCTTCCAGTTCAGGAAGAAAGTATAGCTATTTCGTGGACAACTCAGGTCTCAGAGATCGGCACTCTTCCTCCCTCTCCTCTTCGAAATCGGTTTCCACTGTTCGACAACACCGTTATTAATTTATTGCGCGACTAGTTTAATTAAACTATTAAATGAAGGAGAGAAGCTGCAAAGGGAACACTATAGAACACCATACAAAGAAGTACATTTCCAAAGGATCAGATATTTTATTGCTACTGGAAATAGGACCAGTAGAGGATACAGGAGAATAAGGGTGGATTTTTGAACTGGGCACTATCCGATAATGCAGCTTTATTTACCGGATTTATAATGCATTTTCTCCGAAATAAAGCTGCATTATCGGATAATGCTCTGTTCAAAAATCCACCCTAAGTCTTTCCAGAAAAATTAACATCAAGGGAGTATGATATGCATGTGTCACTACATAATACGTTTATTTTAAAGCGTACGGATTTTCCCATGCCGAAGAACTTCCAGAAAAGTGCACGAAACAAGATGCAAACGATATTCACATGGATATGGAATCGACATTATTAAAGTGAATTCATCCATACTCAAAGACTTATGCGGAAGGAGGGAGAGGGAGACAAAAGAACTTCAAAGCATCATGAAGTTACAGACAGTATTTCCGCGGTGCGCACTTGACCTCATGCTTTATTATAAAAAGCTGTTCTTACAAGCATTAAAATCCTAATTTGAAGCCGAGGTTCACTTGGGCTCATAGTCCTGTGTAAATGAGCTCGATTGCAGAGCACGCCATGCGCGAAACACACACAAACACCTCTGATCTCACAGCTGAAAATAATCGGAAAAATCCTCTCTTTAGCTGATGGCGATGGAATGGAGTTGCGGCTGAGCCTCCACGGAACGCCAACACAGTCAGAAGCTCGGGAAATACATACATGTCAATCGGGAGTTCAGGCATTGGGAACCGAAATGAAGCCAGTTCACTTTACATAATATTAACTCCACATTGCTTGTGAAGGTTCGTTCCAATGTAGGGTAGCTGCCTGAAAGATACCGTGACCGAAACTGACATGTGCAACGGAAATTGAACACCCAAGAATCAATGTCTTCCTACCATTTCTCGATTTTTTGGTGAACACAGGAGTTCCAATATGAAAGCGAAGACCGACAAGGTCAATCCAAACAAAAGAGCATAGAAGATTCCTTGAACATGAACGATCCCGAATGAAATCCGGTCGACCTCAGCCGGGGTGTCGATGACATCCTTGAGAGGGAAGTAGCCCCCAAGCGAAAAGACGCAATCGGACATCCACTTGTTGAAGAGCCCGCCATCGTGCAAGTGCTGGATGAAGAGGTCCAGCTTGGGTTTGTAGGGCTGGTACTTGCGGATGGGCCAGGCAGAAGGCAGTGCCAGGAAGTTTTCGTCAGCCAAGCGGAGCTCTGTCCATACAGGGTCGTTTGCTTTCCTCTGCCTCCAAATCAGAAGTTCCAACTGAAACCGCAAGTCTACGAACATGCTGTCGAGGTTGATGACAACGTTGTTTGGATAAACCAATTTTAGGCGACTTGCTACTTTCTGATACGTTGGGTTCTTGGAACCTCGAAAGGTATTGACTAGCACGTCATTGTAAAGGACGATCTGGAAAGGGAGATTCGTCATCTGGACGGCATCTTCCAGTGTATTGATCGGGCGGGTAGTGCCTGGGTAGATGATGTAGCTTGATATCAGAGAATTGTACATGAGGGACACAAAGAGACAAAAGACGAGCCAAAACGTCCAGATGTACCGCATTCGTTCCGGCTCGCGATCCAATCTTTCGACGCCTTTTACCACAAAGATAGAGTAGGCATTGAAAATTTCATTCCCTACCTGGAGGCCCTTGAATGACCTTCGTTTGAAAAGGGCTAATGTGATACCCATCACGACGATGGAGATGCCGCAGAGAATCCAGATGGGAACGGGGAACGGTCGGTAGACGGTGGTGTAATAAGGCAATAGCTGTGGCTTTCTCGTGATGAAGGAATCAGTCTCGATCATGACGAACCTCATGAAATCCACGTACTCGTACCTGATCGAGGTCTGGGAGACCTTCCCGACGGCAAACTCTGCATCCCCGTCCAGAACCATCCTAATTTGACCATCCCACGTCCCGTTCACGAGATTCCCCGTTCCGCCGGTCTTTTGGCTACGAAATGAAAGGAGGATTGTGAGAAGGCCCTATGACTGTCAAAGAGACTCTTTAGAAGTATTGGTTTCTTGAAACACAATATTTGGTTTGCTCGACGAACCAAAAATCAAAGGAATAAAATTATATTATATTCAATGAACTCTCTGTTTATTCTTGCTAACGGTGACGTCACGTGGCCGGAAATAATTTGACGCCGCAAACAAGAATGCCAATGAGCGAGTTTGGCTTGCCAATTTCGGTCTACACGACGTTATTCCTCAACTTCTGATGACGTTCTTGGGGTGCGTAAATTCCGAATCAATTCCAAATCCTCCGCTGGTCAATGACGATCAGGTTAAAAGGATTTAAAGAGCGAGTCCTCTTTGGGGCCTGTACTTTTTTTTGTTAACTGGTCCTGATAGCTCCCCTACTTGCCTATTATTTCCCTATAATATAGTCAAATGGGCAAAGGAAATACATAAGTTAGGACGCACTCATGCCCAGAGTGAAAGAAAATCTGGAAACGTGAAAGGGTCTGGAGGATTTTTCTGAATCCAGGATGGGTACGAAGTTGACAACCCATTTAAACCCTTTCGTTCGTACCGGGACATAGTGTCCCGTTACCAATGTTCTATTAAAATCGCTCTAACTATAGAATGATCCGTACAAAGCATTAATTTTTTTTCATACGTTTTGTTCAAAAGCTGGAATTATGAATGCCGCTATAATTTCACTTTCACACATATACTTTTCCATATATACATATACAGGTATCTTTGAACATTCCATTGCACAAAAATTCGTCTCTGAAAGGGTCAAGTGCCAAGTAAGGCGTGGTAGTAGTCTCCTTGACCACAATAATTACTTTAGAGTCGCTTGCTAATACTTGAGAGGATACCCCAAAAATTTCTATGATGAAGCATTTGGAGTCATGCGAACGCTTGGTTTGCATTTCTAGCTTCGTTTCTTTATCTTCGTTTCAGAAAAAGTATGGGTTACACATCGTCTCGTGTCCTTCCACCTAGCTTACGGCCTGGAAGGCCAAAGGATCGAAGGCCTCGTACGTAAGGCAATGGTGACAGAATTCTAGGTCAGATAATTCATCCGCATCGAGTGACTTTCCGACCTGAGAACACGCGTGTTGACGAAATTACGTCACTGATGAACTGTTTCCTTCCTGCCAAGCATGACCAAATCCTCCAAAAGAGACAATGTAAATAAATGAATTTGAAAAATCACGAGCTCCCTCAGATCTGCCAACGGTGGCTAAAATGCCTAACATCGTAGGAAGAAAATTCACTTGATATCTTACAGGGTTGGGATGACTCGGAAGTTGAAGTGATGGGCCATGGCCTTGAGGGCTTCTCCTTCGAAGCCGGTCCAATTCTTCATCGTGTCACCCGGGCTCCAATTAAAGAAATTCCGAACGGGCGTCGAAGTAACCGTGAATACCTTTCCGTGGAAATCATCGAGGAGATCCGGGAAGAGATTCTTGGATATGTCCTTGGATCCTGGCCTCCACGTCTGGATGAATTGCATCCCCGGATGAGAGCCATTGCAAAAGAGACACACGGCATAGAAGCCGTACATATCGGGCCGGATTCTTCTCGCCACCGTGACTGGGATCATGAGACCGGCAGCCTTCTGAATCCAGTCGACCCCTGGACGAGCCTCGAGCACGAAGAGGGCCTTGCTCGTCCACCACATTTGAGGTCGGATGCGATAGAGAGCCCGGAGTGCCTCCTCGGCCCATTCCATAGATCCCAAGATGATGTAGAAGTCATTCCTGCTGCTTGCAGACTTGATCCTCTCCATATCTTCTACGGAGCTGAAAGTCGTTCGTGAAAGGCCGTCACGGCTCACCAGCACATCCGAATCTTCCCTTTCACTGATGAGGAATAGCTGTTGATGCGACTCTAAAGAGAAATCCAGGATACGATGAATCAGCTGCGATATGACATCGTCCTTCATGTCCCTCCCGATCCGCAATTCTAGCTTGGCTTCTCCGATGCACAAGGAAGCGAAAACGATCAGCGAACTGAAAAGGGTGATCATGGTGTCTCGCGGGTGGCCTTTGGCTTCACTGTGGACCACTGTGTATTCTTTAATCCCAATATATTACTTCTCCCGAATCAGTTTACACAGCAGGAAACAGCCATGCGCTTTTTTTTATATCGGGGATTCGTACGATATCGGCATGACATCCAGTCTCTAACGAGGCGGGAACTGCCGTTTGCCTCGCGGTTCCCCTGGCTCCGTGCCTATCCAAATAGAGTTCACCGAGTGTGAGAGGCTCTCGTGGTTGAATGAACGTAGGAGCGGATGAATATGATAGCGCCGTAGCGGATGGATGGGAAATGGGAGTTCTGTATCTCACAATATGGAAGGTATAGGCTACGGGATAGATCCCTCCCGTTCGGAAAATCTCGCCGTGATTATAGGTGTCGGCCGGTGTCTCTTGCGAGGGACTGGGAGCACGCTCTCGCGGATTTCTGGTCGGACCACGAATCGAAGTTAAACGGCAATTTCTCTGCTGACTCCCATTTCCAACTTTGGACCCGAGTTCCTCAGGAAAGAGGATGTGATTTCACGAAATTTTTAATGATATTGCTGAAAAACGGACAATCGTGCAGGAATCAGTCTCGTCTCCCCTTGCATGCCATTTTCTTCGCAAAATCTCGCAAGCTCCTTCATCGTATCAAGTGGAGAAATGACCCATTCTTCATGAGAGATGTTGAATCTGTATTTTCCCCGCGTCCCGTTACCTGGAATGGATCTTAACCGATGCAATGTCATTTTTCCAACTCTGACCGATCCCAGTCGGCGTCCTCAACCGACAAGCTAATGGGATTGAGTCGACAGCCCCCCCCCCCCTTTTGTCCATCTTATCCCCTATCCTCAAGTCTCGATCGGCGAAATCGATTTGGATTTATGAAGAATTAGCTGAGGTCTCTCTGTGTCTGACCGCCGGAGTCCTGCCAGGGCGATTTACGGACTCTAACGCCATATCGACCCGATACGAATCACGGCCCTCACCAGACCAACAAACTCGTCCGTCGTGTCGAAGCGATCGGGTCGATTCAAGAGTATAGAGGCCTAAGCGGGCGGGGGGCCCGCTTAGGCCTCTATACCCTTGAATCGGACCATCTCTGATGGAAACATCCGGAAGCTCGAGTGCCAATCGAGCGAAACGTCCGAACCGCCGGTCGCCCTCGTCTACATCCTATTGGATATATCCAGGCGTTCGAAATTCGAACTTCGTGCCTCGCTGGAACGCTGGGGTGGAGGGAAACGCGCCGAAACTTTTTGGCTATGCAATTGGAGTTCCTCGACCGCGATACGCCTCCCAAATCGTTCATGCAAAGTGTGACATTTGAAATTAAAATGCTGTCTTTAATGAACTCCAAGACAGTACTCGCTAAATTTAGCTTATAAAGGAAATTGGCCATCATCTCACGGCGATAAGCATCCCACACGTTCCATCAGATATCCTGGTTTCTCCACCCATCGGATATCCTGGCTTCTCCACCCATCGGATATCCTGGCTTCTCCGCCCATCGGATATCCTGGCTTCTCAACTACGTACCCTGTGTCTCACTTGAATGCAGTGGGACGGAAATCGATTCGCTTCAAATTAACTGGCGGCCGTGCCCGCCCACGGAACCCCCTTCAAAAGTCGGTTTTTGAAATCTAAATCTCGATACCTTTAGAATTTGAGGTGAGAAATTTTATTTTTTTGTGAGATTTCCAGCCACCTCGTGTGGATTATATCCAGGCCCAAAGCTAAGTGAATTTGACTCCTCTGAAAAATATAGTATCGTACGAGGGCGAATAAAAAAGTAAAGATACAAGCTTTATTTTTTTATTTTAAGGAATAAAATGAAAACAAATATTATTTTTCCGTGTAATCACCGTGTGAAAAAAGTTTTTGTCTTGTGCCTTCAGGAAATCTTGTACCGCCTTTTTTTCACTGCTTCGTCATTCGGAAGGTGTTCGGCTCAGAGTTGAGAAACCTGCGCTTCAACCCCAAATTAAAAAAAAAAGAGAATCTAAAAATTTTCCCAGGTTCATCACCTGCAAACTACGCATAACTCGCCGTAGAAGTCCAGGTCTCGTTCGCCGCCTCCTCAAACACCCGCCCAGATTGAGGTAGGGGAAGAAAGGAATGGGAGTCAACATTAAACAAGCTGGGAAAGCCGGATGAAGTAGCGGGCTCTTTTCAATAAAGCCTCATTTATGCACCTCGAAACATAAATAAATAAGGTGAGCATTGATCTGACATTCTTACGGGGTTGGGATGACCCGGAAATTGAAGTGATGGGCCATGGCCTTGAGGGCCGCTCCTTCGAAACCTGTCCAGTCTTCCATCGTCCCATTTGCGGCCCAGTTGAAGAAAAACGGCACATGTGCAGCAGAGACCTTAATGTTCTTCCCTTGGAAATCATCAAGAAGATCCGGGAAAAGATTCTCTAGATTGAGTCTCTGAAAGAGTCTCTAGATTGCAGGGACGCCAGAATCGTGTTTATACCTGCATGGATTCCTTCGGAAAGTTTATTCAAAGTATTGCATTTTTTAAGGAAAAATCGCCCCCCACTGGGCCTTGACGATACCATCACCAGAACGCGTCACCAGACACACGTGGGTGAAAAATCACGCCAGATTTATTGATAGATCGAGGAAAATGAATCTTCGGAAGGAGTCTATGCAAAAATCGCCATGATGTCTACCCGGACTCCCGCGAAATAAATTACGTTTCTGACAAGGAATAAAAATCGCCCCCCTCTTCTCTGCCAACGTTTACGCGCTTGCCACAGAATATGAGCCCTGGCTCCTCAAAAGCAAAAATCACAAAATCTTCTCAGATTGATAGAAAAGACTCTCTGGATGGCAGTGAGACTTCGCTCGTCCCTTCGCGGTGGGTGGTTCGCTGAATCTATTCGAACCCTGGACGAGCTTCTCGCACGAAGAGGGTTTTGCACGAAGGGTTTGCTCGTCCATCACATTTGAGGTCTGATGCGATAGAGCGCCCGGAGTACTTGATTGGTCCATTCCATATGTCCCAAGAAGATATAGAAGTCGTTTCTGCAGCTGGAAAACTCGATATTCTTCATTTCTTCCACGGATCAAAAGATCGTCCGTGACAAGCTGTCATGCTCCACTACTACATCTTGGTCTTCCCTTTCACTGATAAGGAATAGTTGTGACAGCAGACACAAATCAAGTACATCAACATGTCGAAGGAGCTGCGGACTGACAATGTTCTTTTCTTCGCTTCCTTCCTCCTAATACATTAGGAGGAAGACTGAAGAGTGCGGATGTGAGAAGGATGGTCACAATTGCTCGGCGTGGGTCGCTAGCTTCACTAATGCAATAAAGTGTACTTTGCGAAATCGCCGCACGCAAGAAAAAGGCGTGCAACTCACGTATTCCAAGGTTACAAGTGGGTTACGTGCCTCTGAGACGTCTTATCGAGTATTTAATGAGATTTTGGCTGAACCATTTTCATATGGAGCATTGGGACACGCGACAGTGCGCCCCATGGCCCCTTCGTAGCATTTTCATTTTAGCATACACACGGAGCGTTCGCTATACTGTACCTGAGGTGCTCTGACGTACGAGTCAGATATGAGAGTCGAACACCCGACTCTCATTTCTAAATCATGCGGTATTATACTTTGTCACGCCCCACCACCACGTCCGGATCTTTCATTTCACTGATGAACTCCTCTCTCGAGTCGCATTAACAAATATTCATCAAAACATGATGAAGGAGCTGTGAAATGGCGTCATTCTATATCTGCTTCTGCACTGCAAAAAGTAGTGGAAAACGACCGTGAAAGCGAAACGGACAATTAAGATTGGTGAATCTGAAGACCTTTCCCGGGCAAAGTACACTGGTTTCCAAGATCTAAGGAACAAATAGATTTTTCTAAGTTCCGCAACACCCCCGTCATGAAAATGGTCGAAACATACAGGAATATGTAAATTAACGATGCTACGTTGTCATAACACATGCCATGATATGGCGATCGTCCGCTGACATGCAAATACAATCACGTCTTCCTCTGAGAAGGTATTGGGCAGTTCGCGTTTAGATGGCAAGCATTTCATTTCAAGATAGCCGAACTCTGAAAATGACCGAAAAGAACCACCTAACAGAGCCATTGAGAGCGAAATCGTTGGCGGGGATCATCCGGCCGACATCCTCATCCACAACATTCACCTGATGTTCGTCATATGGATCTTCAATGTGTTCCTTAAGTTTTGGAAACCAGTGTAGACTGCGTATATTGCCGTTTTAATAGAGGGTGTTCCAAAACTAGAGACACGATTTTGTTAGTCAACGTTTGAACGACTTGTGATAAAGAGATGCAGTTGGATGCATACTTTAATGTCAGGCCTCGAGTTTGAGTCGACACACACAAATTAGTTTCTTGAGACTTCTTCCTATTACTCGATAACTTTGGAACAGCTAATGATAAAGTATAACTTTGCGCAGCATAATTTCTGAACACTCATTTTTTCGAACTGCTCCACCACCACCCCCACGTGAACACCATTCGTGCCGCTGGCAGTATCCACCCGATATTAAAGCACTCCTGGAACCATTGTCTCGTAAAGAACGTTCTTAAAGTTGCCCCATAGGGAAAAGACAGGTCTGAAGAGGCCACGCGATCGTACCGTCGCGACATCGTCGAGAAAATGTCCTATTCCGAACCTCTCATGTCAATGAATTAATTTGTGTATGCTGACATGAACTCGAGGCCTCACAGTAAAGTATGCTTCAAACTGCACCCCTTTATGAAAAGCCGTTCAAGCGTGTCCATAATTTTTCAACACCCTGTATGTCAACCTCCTGGGGATTTTTTTTGTAGCACAGAGAAACTACCCTAGTAGCATATAAAATTGAATCAACAATGATTCAACGTTGTTTCAATGCTATATGCTATTAGAGTAGTCACGCGATTGGTTTATTTCAAGGTTGTGGAATAAGGGATTCGTACCGCCGAGACACGATATCTAGTCTTTCATTAGGCTTGAACCATCGCGTTTCTCATGCTCCACGAACTTCATGTCAATTTTCATTTAGACCTATAGTTATGGAGCATTCATTGAACGAGATGTGATCCGACGGGTGAAAAATAGTCGGAGCGGATGAATGAGAAATGAGCCTCAGAGACGGTCGCCATGGATTGCGCGAGTCATACCTTTGATATTTAGTCGATAAGCGGAGTGACGCGGCATTGCGCATGCGAATGCTTCTAAAATAATGTTTTTTTTTACAGTAATTTGGAATTAAACATGCGCTAGTAATTGCTATCTCAATGAAATCATCATCGTTGCGAAAACTTCGTTAAGACTCAGCCGTCAGTACGAAGGCCATTACTTCAGGCGCATCTCCTCGCTGCGCGAGTGTCAAATGTATATGGGCTGCCAGCATCAGTAAGGATGTCCATGCAGCGTGCCTCCATATCGTAACTTATCGAGTGACCACAGATTCATATTCGCCTCAACTCCTAATTCAGCATAAACGGGTAATGTGCATTTTAAAGATTGCATGTAGACAAAGACGAGAGCGCAGAAAGTCTTGAAACTCACATAACTCCAGCACGCTATCCGGCAACTGTGGAGGACGTTACTGAAGCAGACACGCTAAGCGTAAATTAATGACAACTAATTTGCATCGCAAGCAACAAAGAGAGCACTTCTCGACATCTACAAGTCAATATCTTTCTTTATTTTATCAGATAGTTGGTCCCTTTACTCAGAAAACCCCCCAAGGGGGGAGGGGGGGGGAATATTTCAGAGTTGTGCTGCCTTAGCCTGACGCACTCGGCCTACAAGCCTCTGCGTCATCTCACATTCTTTAACTTACCTATCAGTTGGAGTTCTTTTCCCATTGTATAATTTATGAAGAGGAAGTGTGAGAGGTCATGATCCTATATTTCCTGGTTTTCTACATCCCTGAGTCGCCACGTGTATCTTCACCGTACAGTTGACTACTTGATTTACAATTGACTGATTATGGTATGCTTGTGGATGCAAATGGGTTAAGCTGGTATTTTCAACCGTATATACTGGCAAAACGTACATATGATAACTGGTCCTCGCAATTCATCGGGCTAACTGTTTTTGTGTGATCTAAGGAACGCCAAGGGGATAGACACTTGGGATTCTAACCTAATCTTTCTGGTAAACCGGTTGATATTTTTTCTTAACATGAATGTGATTTTTCCCTAGGGCATTTTCCCTCTGGGGAAAAAACCATCCAGCATGAGTGGTCCATGGCAGTCAAAGAACATTCACTAAGACTTTATGCGCAACCGCTTCAGTGGACAATTTCCCGAGTGGGAGAGAATGGAAATACCGCCAATACAGATTGGCACATTTTCACACAGGCTGAAAACGACTATCGTGACTGGAATCATGAGACCGGCGGCCCCATGAAACCAGTCGACCCCTGGATGAGCCTCGAACAACGAAGAGAGTCTTGCTCGTCCACCGCATTTGAGGTCGGATGCGATAGAGGGCCCGGAGTACCTCATCGGTCCATTCCATAGATCCCAAGGCGATAAAGTAGTCGTTCTTGCTGATCGCTAACTTGATCATCATTATTTCTTCTACTGATCGGAAGATAGTTAGTGACTGGCTGACACGCCCCACCACATCTTGGTCTTCCCCTTCACTGATGAGGAATAGCTGTTGATATGACGGCATAGATAAATCGAGATGTCGAAGGAGCTGCGGAATGACGACGTTCTGTTCAGTCTTCCTCCTAATCCATCAATCCAGCTTCGCTCCTGCAGTACACAAGGAAGAGAAGAAGTGTGGATGTGAGAAGGATGGTCACGATTGAAGGATGATCATGACCGAAGGATGGTCATGAGTGCCCGGCGTGGGTCTCCAGCTTCACTAAGCAATACATTGTCCATTGCCATATCGCCGCCACCTTTCTGGAATTGGTGCACGCAAGATGAACTCGCCGTGCAAGTCGTGTATTCCAAGGTTGTGCGGGAGATTCGTGCCTTTAATACGTCATATTGAGTCTTTAATGAGATTTTGCGCGAAAATTTCAATACCGAGCAATAGGACACGCGACTGTGTGCCACATGCCACATAATACTGCACACTATATTAATCATAACCTCTACATACAGAGCGTTTGCTCAACCTGAGGTGCTGTGACGTATGACTGGGAAATGAGAGTCGGGTCTCTGACTCCCATGTTTAAATCATACAGTAGTTAGAGCACCACAGACACACACTCTTTCCTCCTGTAGTGCTAGGGCCAGGATGGCACTTTGCCTAGCACCGTGGGTTAAAATGAAAGGCCAGTTGGGAGCTCCATAATTAATCTATTGGCTTGACATTTGAAAACTAATAAAATATATGAAATAAATAAAATAAATAAATAAATAAATAAGTGAAAGACAATGAACAATGACTCAGACAATGGCTCAGGCCATAGGCCGGAATGTAACCAAAGTAAAAACGTTTGGCAGGCGCTACGCCATGTAAAAGCACTGGATAAACAGACCAGCCAGACTTGGGAAAACCAGCAAGGGGAAAGTGTTGACAAGCAAGGCTCGGGAAAAACCAGCAAGGGAATGTGTTGACCAGCAAGGCTCAGCAGACCAAAAAGCGAATGTGCAGACCAGCAAGACTCGGCAGACTCCACACACACGGCAACCGGAAGATGGGCTCCCCCTGACACACCCCCAGCTCTGGCTGCTCTCTCGTATATATGTTCAAGTGTCATGTGGGGTAGAGGAGAACCCCCACTTGGAGCAGTTAATGTGTTCATCCAGGACCATACTCGATGAAAACCACTCCTCCGGTGAAAGACAGGCACAGCGCAAAACTTGTTCTCAGAGCCTCTGGCTAGCTGGTCCAGTCCCTTTCAGCAACACTAGATGCTGGTCGTGTCGTCTGCTCCTCAGACACGACACTACACTCCCATCTTCACGCGCGAACCATCGAGAATATGTGTAGTTGTCCGGGCCTTTTCTTGTAAACCTATAAAGCATCAATCACAGCTATTATTTATTTCAATTAATTCAATTAGAGACAATTTTGCAACTCGATTACTCTGGAACAGCTATTGATGAGCAATTTAATGGAACTGCAGGGAAAAATATAACTACGCTGCATCGTTCCAAAAGCTGTATTCGTTCGAACTGTTACATCACCTACACCTGAGCATCACTCGTGACTCGAGCAATACCCACCAGACATTCAAATTCGGCCCACGTCCGTGCCAGCAAATCTGGTGTAATTGTTGCTATCGCATCCTTTGTGCCTTTCCGAAGTGCCGACACGTTAGGAGCCGTTTCCTTGCAAAGAAACGTCCTTGACTTTTAGCCCAACTTGTAAAAGTCAAGTGGAGAGAGGCTTGGAGAACGCAGAGGCCATGCGATCGGGAAGCATCGTCCAGGAAGTGTTCTTTCCGTCTCATCATGTCGAGAAGGTAATTTATGTCTGCCGACGTGAACTCGAGGTCGCACGCTTAATTATGCTCCAAGCTGCACCCTTTAATCGGAAGTCGTTCAAACGCGACTGAATAACAAAATCGTTTCCGTGATTTTGGAACACACAGTATATCTACTTCCTCGAGATTTGTACCATGGAGAAACCAGTCACGGGACTGGTGGATTCCAAGGTTGGCATAAGGGATTCGTAACTCGATATCTCGTCTTTCATTGGGCTTGAATCCATCGCGTTTCTCATGCTCCACGAACTTCGTACCGATTTTCACGTAGACCTATAGGCATGGGGCATTCATCGAACGGGATGTGATCCGACGGATCAATTATTATCGGAGGCGAATGAATGAGAAATGAGCGTCGGAGACGGTCGCCATGGATTGCGCGAGTCATGCCTATGAGGATAAACCGTCAATTGAAGGAGTGACGCGGCATTGCGAACGCGAAAAATTGTATAATTCAGACATGTTTCTACTGTGGTTTGGCATCACTAGTGCGCTAGTAATTGCTACCTCCATGGATTCATTATTTTGGCGTAGTCTTCCAGAACACATTGCGTAACGGACATTTTACCCCGTCAATCCGCCGCTCTGACCTGAACATCAGTTACCTTAGCCTAAAGCTTTATGACTTTTTCGGCCGTAGGCTAGGCGAAAGGACTCGAAAACGGAGATCTCCGTGAGCGATACGCAAAATGTTAAAAACTCAAACTTGAGTGCAAATGCCATTACTTTAGGAGCGTCTCTCTGCTGCACGAGGTAAGAAGAGTTAATAAAAGAGACGTAGGAAAATAATCATGCGAGTTCCGTGCCGCATGCTTCGTACAAAAGGGTAGCGTTACCCTCGGATGGTTCCAAATGTAGTCCTCGAAACGGAGGTTTCTTTGGCATGTACAGGCGCCATCGCGTCTGAAGAGATCAAGTTCTTCAGAGAGAGAGATTCGGTGTTCTCCGCGACCCCCGGAAGGCTGGGGCCTCAAGTTTGCTGGAGCAATTTTTCGCCGAGAGTGCAAGAAACGCATGCCCGGGGAGGAAAACGAGGAATTTTGCGACCGGAAGGAGCCGAAGAAAGGGAACGAAATGAGCGCGAACTCCTTTATTCGTCCTTAATCTCCAGGTTCTCCCCTCGCCAGGCCAATTCCTATCCGTCTGCAAGAATGGGACGGATTTTCATCATGAAATAATTACCAGGATAACTTTTTTTTCCCCCATCAACGTTATGAGAAGCATGAACGCGGGAAAACTTAGGGGAAAATAAAACTCATATGCAGCCAGGTTTACATTTATCATGTATTTTCCGGAAATATGATATGAAGGGCACTTCATATTTATTAATTAAATGACGTACGTCCGCAACTTGCTGACCTATATACTTAGTGTCCATATTTTTTGCAAAGGTAATAACTAATGCTTGGTCAGGCGCCATTTTCGGTTCATCACTCAAGAATGGTCTCAAGTTCAACTAAGGTAATTATAATAATGGAAGAGTACAAAAATACTTGCTTTCCTGAAAATTTCATAGAAATTTCAAAAGAGATGAAAGAACTTGCATGGAGTAACTTGGAGGAATAAGACCCTTCGCAGACCCTAATTATGAATTCCCTGCATAATTAGTTTGTGCGAATGTAATTTAAAAAAAAAATATTTCTATCGAAGAGTACATGCAATTGTCAACCTGCTCATTAATCCAGTTGCCACAGGAATTTGGGATACAACAACGTTTTGAAAGTCCTATGCATGCGATTCTTTAACTCGTGACCCTGAAACTTAATATGAGCCTTGAGGAATTTAAGCGTATATTACGTAACAGCAGCATGGATACAGAATCCATTTGGTCAATCGATCATTCGGCAAGCTCTCCGAAAATCACTGATGCCATATCTCTTCACAATTTCCCTTTTTGTTCCATCAAACACTTCCACGGATGAATTTCCATCTCCTCCAACAGCATAAACATTTCGGTTCCAAGTTACGAGTCCGTGATGATACCATGCTTGGCCCCTCCCGCCACGAATTGCTTCTTCTATCGTACACGAAACACGTCTCTCCTACTTGATCGCAATATCCCCCGGCCAGGACCAGCTCATCCTTTAGAGACGAGAGAGCATGGTTCCATCTTAGTCGAGGGAGCTCGGCCAACTGTTCCCATCGGGAGGTGCGCAGATCCAAGCGCTCGTGTTCATTTCCATTTGGAGTTCCTCCAACGACGTGAAGGCAAGAGTCGTGCCTCATCTCGCCGAGTCGCACCCATCGCCGTGACTCCACTTCAAAGCGAAATGCACGTTTCCTACTTTCCTTTTTTCGATCCCGTCCACCGCAGACGGACATGGAACCGGGGGAGACGGCAGTCGCCGGCCAATAAACGTACTCCCAAAAGTGGAGTGCGCATAGAAAGAGGAACCAAAGCGTCCGTAAGTGGACTGGGCATAGCCACTCCGAATCACAATGTGAAGGAAAAACATTGTATATGTAACCCATTCGTAAGCGTACCATGCGGCCTTGTCCTTCCGCTTAGTCTATGACCTAAATTGGCATAGGTGAATCGGTCTCGCGGCTCATGCTAATGCAGCAGTAATCTCGGTCTGATAGGCCGAAAATTTCCTGGATGCGAATGGGTCACGATTGGTGTAGGCCTGCTAAGTCAGGCCCCTCAGGGTACGCACATCCACAGTCCAACTGTACCTGAAGCATGCGATTTAACAGCTATATGTTTAACCTACCTCTTCATTGAAGGAAGAAAGTGCGTGAGACTGGTATTAGCCTAAGCGTCCATCAGTGGGTTAGGCCTAGGCTTAGGAAATCATCCCCCACCCGAAATGTGGCTCCAAGTACCTCCGAAGTCGGACTTTCTCTGGAGTCAACATAGTGGCAACTACTCCCGTTCCTCCAGTTTCGTTGAAGGAACTTTGTGCACGAGAATAGCATACGCCTAAAAGTCCGTCGGAGGGGTAGACCTAGGTGTCCCCCTGGAAATGAAGTGAGTACACGCCCCCAGGGTGTGTATCCACGAAGTCTGCAATTAACAGCTATTCATGTATTAAGTTTTAGCCTCATCATTTCTAGAACATGTTAGAGAGACCGGTCGGGCAGAGAGATAGTCGACCAACCATCATGGTCTTGTCGGGGGGCAGAGGAAAAGTTAACTCCCAAATGAACTGCTCATTTTGCACATGGATTCTTTCCTCATAGAAGTACGAATAATCTCATTTATAATTTAAAAAAACGGACGGGGATGACTTCGAAGCAAAGGAGTTTTACCGTGTTTATTTTCACTTCCAGAAGGCCAGCTAAAGCAATGGCAACGCTCACGATCAAGCATCTCTTCACTCGATCCCCCTCAAAAGGGGGAGGGTTCAAAGCATAGGCGATATATTCGCATGAAATCTCAAAATTCAAACAAAAGCATCATCAAGCATCAAAGCATTTGCTGTCAGAAGCCTGGCAAAACCTGCACATGTGCTGTATGCCTTCAATTTGGGTATGGCTCATTCCCTCCATATGAGATACGCATCTCCTCTCCAGGTGAAACCATCGTCCACATGTGTCACATCCTATCCAGCTGTTTCCTGTGTTGAGTTTTTACACTCTGAACAAGCTTCGTTATTTTCAACTTCACTTTACTCAGGCTTTCCCCCTCCTTTCTTCTCCTTCTTTCTCATATAAAAAATGTAATCAGTAGTTGATGCAACAAATTGGTATTCCTGTTTTTGATTTCGTGCTCCCACGATCCACGTCCACCAGCCTCTGAGGAACTCGTAGGTATTTGGCGAAGGGAGACAAGTCATAGGTGTCTGAATGACCCTGCTGGTTTTCGTTCAAAGTAACCATGGGAGGTGTCAGAGCCACGGTGTCCTCCTTGGCAAGGATTTGTGACGTGGTAGCCATAGCTTCCTGCATTCCATAGATATTTCGATCAGCGGTTTTTGTAGATGATTGTCCACCGCCATCACCTTGAGTAGAACACGCTCTAGATTTTGCTTTTAATTTTTCCACAAGGATTATGAGTGCCTCATGAGGGGATCTGGTTCTGAACCGAGCGCTGGCATGACTCAAAGATTTCCAAGTATGCCCCAGTTCTTCTTCAAATTGACGAAGGAGACGGCTGTAATCATCTTTTGTTGCAGATCTAGTGCTTGATTGATCATCTGACTGGTTCACACGATGCTGGCTACCACAGGCTTGATGATTTAGGGGGAGGGCTTGCTTTTGTTTGGAAAAATCACGGAGTCACTTGCTCTCGCTTGTCAGATTAGCTGACAGACATGCTTTGACCCCCTACGAGCAATTACCGATAGATCTTCCTTGCAGGGCAAAACTTGTCTCATCAGCATTGAAGATTCTCGAAGGGTCTTGTTTCGGCCTGTCCTCAAGAGTTGCAAACCAATTGCGGACAACCGCTTCATCCACCATATCTCTCTCTCTCAAGGCTCTCTCTCAATATTGGCAGTTCTGCGGGCAAGATCCGGGTGTGTACCGGGATATCTTGTCGTCCATCCTTTCGATACTCCCTTACCTTCTGGGATTCTTCTTGGATCATTCTCAGGCAGATCACGCAGGATTTTAGTTACCAACTGAATATAATTTACCATTAATAATGTGCATGCAAAAGTGTTCTTCCTTCTCCTCCCAGAGTTTCCCCCCACCTTTGTCGCCAATGGTACTCCTTGGGATACCATATGCAACTGCTGCTCCTTCTGGCAGTTCGTTAGATCTCATTTTTTCCACAGCCTCAATTATTGCGGCTTCACTGTTTCACTTTTCCGCCCTGATATTCCCCTCTTATGCTGCTTGGATGGCATTGCAAGGAGTGATGGAGAGGCACTTTATTCCCATATTGTAGAGATGTCACGGGTTTTAGTTTGTGATTAAATGTTGAATTAAGTTTAAGGTAGCGGGCTTATGGGTTCTGTGCCCGTGACAAGCAGTGTTCCAACAAAAACAAGTGGATTGAATCCACTTGTTTTTGATTGAGAGCTTCCTTCTTCGGGCCATTTCCACCAGCGTCAGCGTGAGCAATAATTAGGGTAAAGAGGTGAAAGGACAAACTATTTATTTATAGTTACTGAATGATGATCGAAGTTGTGATGGGCCTTGGGCCACTAAGGAATTTATTTTATTTGTTATTCCATTGCCCATTACTGGGCAGCAAGAAGCAGCTCCACGGGTCGTGGATTGCATATCCCTGCTCTAGCCCCACTGTGGCTGGTGATTTGTAGATGGGTGGGTGAAACTTGTTACTGTAATTTCGCGGCCTGTATTCAGCATTCTGCATAAGTAAATTCTATGGAAAAAGGAAATTTGCTATTCTTTAGACCGATGAAACACAAGGCCACTATCACGTGCATTCTCAAATTCATCATCAATACCGTATTGCCTTGAATACTGCAAGGGTCGAAGCATCATGAATTAATAAAATCGATAAATGAGGCTCCTGGAGCGGTTGTAGCATGGGACATCCCGAATCCATTGGTTTAGGCCCTATTTTTTTTAAAATTAAACATGAGAAAAATGAGAAACAATTCAAGACCAAAAGAAGAAACCCGAGCGGTGGGGTATCCCTAGCTGAGGAAGAGAAAATTGTCTGGAATCCCTATCTATCTATCTGTCCTTCCTGATCGGATTCATGTCTTAGCGAGATGGGGATTGTGACAAGGTCATATGGAATCTGTGAGATAGGTGCAAAGAAGCATTAGACTGTTTTGGGGTTAGGGATTCGTAACCTTGCCTCCACCACTCAGATTTTTTTGTGGGTAGGCATTTGTTATATGGAAAGATGTGATATTTCATTTAGAAATCAGCCAGAATATGAAATTCGAAAACATTCCCCTTCAGGTTCGATGACTGGGCCTGTAGACCAATCGACGCCAAGGAAGAGTCGAAGGATGAGGAGTGATTACCGCTTCGATTGCTGCATTGGGATGATGGCAACAAGAGACCTACTAGACACAGAATGCGAAATGGAGGAGATGTCGGCCAAGGAAAAGGAGACATTCTTGGCTCGTTTGATTCAAGAAAATTCATCATGCCATCGACAGACTGTGTCTTACAAAGGAGCTAGTCTTTGCATAGATTGCTTCATGAATTTATTTTCTCTCCCGAAGG